CCCCAAGCTCTTACGGACCTTAATCGATTTGAATTTGATCATTTTGAGTGTGTAGTATCGATACTTCTGTAAAGTATCGATATTAAAATGGATTCTGATACGGAAAGTATCGATACTCTGAGGTAAAGTATCGATACTCTTGGACTAAAATCCCTAAATTTTGCCCCAATTCATCCAGTATCGATACTGTTCATCCTAGTATCAATACTCTTGCTCAGAAATGAGTTTTTAAGCTCATTAAACACTTGAAATTCACCCCAAATGACTTTGTTTGAGTTTTAAATTGATTTTGAAGTTCTAATAAGTTATTTAGGGTCCTTAGATGTCTTAAAAACATATTTTTTAACATCTAAATTTGATTTAATTGAGAAATTAAATATGAACCCTAAAATACTTAACTACTCAACTCTTAGCGAAAAACTTGTAATTTATGGAATCTAAATACTCCAAAGGATTAGAAATACACTACCTTGATGATTAAATCCCAAAATTGAGCTACTTTAGTTAGAAATCATCCCTCACCAAGACTTTGAATATAAAACCCTCAACTTTCTCTTGCAAACAAAGAACACATGACTTGAATGGTTAAATCCATGTTGCTTGAGGGGTTAAGAACGAAAATAAAACTTGAAATGGGCTTAAGAGCTTAACTTTGCTAAGAAACTTGGAGAGGAGAGAGGAAGAGAAAATGAGAAGATATGAAAATAAAGAGAAAATGGAGATGGAAAAGATAAAAGGTCTCCATCTTTCCAAAACGGGAAAATTACACTAAAGGTCATTCCTCATATTTATGAAATTCACAAATCTCCTTTTTATTCTTAATTGGGCTCAAATATAATCCAATGAAGCACAACAACTTGAATTATAAATTCTGCAGGGTTCATTTACCTCTTGGGTAGACCCAAAACTACTAGCCTAGAATTTGGAGCATTACATGTTGAGGAGCTTAGAGTGACCGAGGTCCAGACCTAGAGCATATCATAGTACGTCTCAAGTTTTTTAAGGGCATGTATATTTATAAACTCTGTTGTAAAGTTGAGTTATAAATGTATTTTAAAGTCGATCTGTATTATTATTTTTGAAAGTATATATTTATTTTGGGAGCTCCCCAGTGTACAATTTTAATTATATTTTTACAGTTGAATTTATAAAGAAAATAGTCATTTTAAAGTAAGAGAAATAAGAAAAAGGTTGGTCAACTACTCTAGTGGTTCCATGTAGCACCCTCATTGGCGTACTAGTTTAGGCTGTTATAGCCGCCCACCCATTGATCAATTGTTTCCCTTATTGTCACAAATCCCCTAAATCTCTAAAATTCCTTATATCCAAATTCCTAAACCTTTAAAATTTTAATCTCCACGATTAACGCCGTATGAGCAACGATGGAGCGACAATGAGGATGGGTTTTGAGCGGAATTGCACGGTGTTTCGAATGGTGGTGGCGATGTGGTTTTTGGACGTTGGGATCAATTGTAATCGACGAAAAACAACGACGATGGATTAAAATCCGATGAACATTCAAGTGCTTCTCCACAACAAACAATGATAGCTTACTGTGACAGGGCAATGGGGGTTTGATCGAGGGTCGACGCCGGTGCTAATGAAGGTGGCGATGACAGTCACGGCTGGTCGACTAGCAACTATGGAAGGAGGGAAGAAGAAGGGAGAAGGCGAGAAGAAAGGGAGGGGGCCTGAGCACACGGGGGATGTGGAGTTTTTTTAAATAAAAAATATTTTTTATTTTTAAATTTTGAAAATAAATTTTTCAAAATTATCAGAGTTCGACACGTGTCATTTAACGACCAAATTTAATGATCGTTACGGTCCAGACACCTAAAATTGCTCCAATGAAAATATTATGCACCTACTTTTAGCGAAAAATTATTTATGCACTACAACATTTTTCGAAACAAAGTTCAGACACTTACTTTTGCATTAAGCATTATTAAAAACTTTACTAGTTTTGCATGTTTCAGCAGATAAATTGTCCCCGAAGAACTTTCCTTTATTTTATTTTTTAATGGAAATTTATTAAATTCAAATTTCAATAGCATTAAAAATTACATCATCTTTAATATATTTAAATTCATCGGAAATAAATGAAAAAAGATTAGTCCTCGATAAAGCCCAGTGAACGAGTGTATGTGCAACCCGGTTTGTTCCTTGTTCACGTAATAAACTTTGAGGGTCGACGATCTAGTAAGCATCATGCGCATCTTGTTGAGTATCAATCCAATCACTGAAATATCCTATTACGGAATTGTCAAGCGGTTAACGATAGAGATAGCGTCTCCCTCAATGATCACCTTATCTCCTCCGTTCTCAATCGACATGCGAAATCCCTCCATGAATTCGTTGGCCTCAACCAACTCTGTCGTATGCGCTCCATCAAGTCTTCGTGCAACCTCGTCCATACATTCCATGGTGATCCTGGACAACAACACCTATTGCGTCTTCTCCGGTGTTGGGGATGAAATCCCTATTAACATTGATTTTCAGCGTGACATCCATCAATTTGCTCCAGATCCAGATTCAAGGCACTTGTGAATATCAATATTGGGGATGAAAACCCATCCATTGGCTTGCTCTTTGGTCCGGATGGGTTGAAAGGGTGAGTTTCCAAATATTCATTTAGGGTCATGAAACTCACAAACTCAATTTTAAAATTTTATTATTTTGATTTTTTTATTATTTATTTTTCAATTTAATCAATATAATTGATATATTTATCAATTTTTTACAAGACTGACTAAGTTTCGGTGATAGTTTGTCTGATTTTGTTCTAATCTAACATCCAAAATATTGAGGCCAACTAGATATTTCTATGTAATATGTGTGTTTGGTTGGGGGAATGTGAGATTCCCATGGAAATGGAATCCACATTCCCCCGTTTGGTTGGCTGGGAATCTCATTCTCAGTAATCTTACATTACCAATAGTGAATTTTTTGGGGTATATTACCGGGAATGTCATTACCTCTCCTTCTTTAGGTATTGTTGGATTACCGACATTTTGGACTAAAATGCCCTTAATTTTTTTTTCTTTCAGAAATATCCTTATTCTGTCATTGAATAATAAAAATTATGCGAACGTTAAATTACAAATTTATCCTTAAACTATTTTAGATTTACATAAAAAAGTCTATAATTAAAATTTTATATGAAGTTCAGGGGTTAAAATAAAATTTTACCCTTTCATTAAACCTTTTTATATTTTCAATTTTGTAAAAAAATTATATAAATTTTATGAATTTAATTTTTTTTAAAGAAAATATATAAATATTTTCCAACTTGTTAAAATAAATATATAATAAGGACAATTTGGTCAAATATATATTCCAATAATCTTTTATTCCTTTAATCAAACATGGTAATCTTACATTCCTGCTAAACCAACCAACACAAAATACAACATTCCCAGTAATCCTATTCCCTGGTAATCTTTTATTCCCACTGGCAATCTTACATTCCGTGAACCAAACGCACCCTAAGGGTTAACTCGAGTCAATATCTGTAATAAAAGAATTAAACTGATTCGTTTAATAGTAGAAGGACTAGATTGATATAATTCCTATAACACATGGACCTAAAAAGTACCTTTATCCCAAGAAACATCCGAGAGAAAACTAGAAGAATGTTACTTTGAACTTAGATAACCTTCCTAATTAGATAGTAAATGCTGTGAAAAGATACACCATCTCAAAGAAAGCTTAAAATTTGTCGATTTCTTGCAACAAAATAGATGCATACATACAAACTTGCATTTTTCGTATAATGAACTCAACCAAGAACCACCAACAACACATCTTTTTCTTATCATTGTATGTGTCTTCCCCCCACCCCCCCTCTTTTCTGGTTTTTTTCCCCCAAACAGCATCAATGGCCTACTATTCTAACTGTCGAAGCAACACTGCAACTCGTATGGACTCGAATTGAGAAAGAAACAACCTAAGATTAAGTCTTATGGGTCACGATACGAGTCGTATCGCGATAGTATAATCTGAAATTGTCCTTTAATATTTACGCACGTAAATAAAAAGTAAATGTATCTATCACGATACGATTCAGTCATCGAGTTGAATCGTGACAAATATATATGAGCTGAAAATTTATAACTAGAAAAATCTCCAAATCATAACCTTAATTTGTCGTTATTAGCATAGGGACATTTAAGTGTTTTTCCCCTGAAAACTGAATGAATTTAAGAAATGAGGGTTAAGAAAAGGAAAGAGCAGCGAAATATTAAAGCAGGATCATCACAACGAGCCATTAGCTGGAAAAATAAACTGGTCCCAATCGGCAATCGCCCAACCTACCCTACCGAATGGGAAACTTATTTCCCAAGTTAGGCATTGGCAATCAAAAACCAAAGCAATTATTCATATCTTCATTTGGCCACACATCCACTCCACTATCTCCTCTGTTTTTCCTGCTTTTCCAAGCAATACAGTTGCTCCAACTCCCTCAATTTCTTTATCTAGGCTTAATTACACCTCCTTTCATCACTAAACTTTAAGATGTTTTAATTTAATCTTTCAATGTATTGATATTAATGTTGTATCATTCAAGTTTTTCTATTAGCATAACCATTAGTTTAGGTGATAAATGCTTGTTCAAATTTAATGCGATTTAAATATATATTTATCGTATTATCAATTCAAATTTAAAGGGTTTAAAAATTAGTCCTCCTAAATGATATTATGTTTTAGTTTAACCTTATATATTCGATCTATTGATGGATTCTTGAGATCGGATTTTGTAGAGACTTATCATAAGTGTGATCTTTTTAACCTAATTTATTTTAAGACATCATATACAAGTTGTCCATCTGATGGGTGTATTTATAATTTGATTCAAGTATCGACTTGATATTTCACACTTAATTTCAATAACATTTTTAAAATTAGAAAATTAGTTTAAAGTTAATAACTATGTTTTGGTAAGTAAATGAGCATATTTTACCTAACTTGAATCTCTCAAATCCTTAATAAATCCCCCTCCCCTCCAATCGAATCATCCAAAACATTTTGTTGAAGGATCACTTGTCTTGCATTTTACATTGTTCTTGCCGAAACACCACCTTCCAATACATCCCAAAATAATGAAGCAACAAAATGTATTCACCACTCTCTCATTTCTCATACTTTTCGTCCTCCATTGTTCAACAACCTTAGCCCAAGGTCCGGCAGCAGCTCCAGCAGCTCCGGCAGCGCCGGTGGCACCAACACCGGCACCTCCCGGTCCAACAAACGTCACGAAAATCCTCGAAAAATCCGGCCAATTCACCCTCTTCATCCGTCTTCTGAAAACTACACAAGTAGCCAACCAGCTTCTCGGTCAGCTCAACAACTCAAACAATGGGATAACCATTTTCGCGCCGTCGGACAGCGCTTTCTCTAGCCTTAAATCCGGCACGTTGAATTCGCTCAACGACGAACAAAAAGTAGAGCTGGTGCAATTCCACATCATCCCGACGTACCTCTCGTCGTCTCAGTTCCAGACTATTAGTAACCCTTTGAGAACCCAAGCCGGTGACAGCGGCGACGGGAAGTTTCCTCTCAATATCACCACATCGGGAAACTCGGTGAACATAACAAGCGGGTTGACGAATACGAGTGTTTCGGGTACTGTTTACACTGACGGTCAGCTTGCGGTTTATCAGATCGATCAGGTGCTTCAACCTATGCAAATATTCGATCCTAGGCCTCCGGCTCCGGCTCCGGCACCGGCGAAGTCGAAGAAGAAGAAGGCTGCCGTTGTTGCCGATAGCCCTGATGATGAAACCCCTGCTGATAACAACTCCAAAGCGGCGGCCACCATGCAAAATGTAGCCTTGTTTGGTGTTGCTGCTGTAGTTGCTGCGTTTTATTTGTAAACATGAAAATGGAGAAAGGAAGAAGATGGTGATTTTGATGGTTTGGATCTATATTCCATGGTGGTGATCAAGATGTCTTTTTTTTTCTTCATTTTCAATAATTATCATTATGAAATTGAATTTTGATATGTTTTATGGTTCTTTGTTTGTTGTGTTAATTTCATTTCTTTTTGTTTCGAAATCTCATTGCAATATCTTTTTTTCTGGATTATTTCATATACTTGTAAATTTTGTGGTGCTTTCTTTAATTTTTTAAAGAATTTATATCTTTATATTGTTCGGCATGCTATTTTTCCTATTTAAACTCAAATACAAATAGAATTTTTTTTATTTTTACATGGAAATCATAAAATTATTATTTTTATTTATATTGGATATATAAGTATATTAGATACATAATTAAATTCAAATTTAATTTCTAATATTTATATTAAATATACAATTATTTCACTTTTGAATTTGTAGGGTTATTTATGTTTATATCTGATGTTAATATCTAAAAGGTTTACTTCAACAATAAAATATTTATCGGAAATGTAATTGTGTGGCTGATTATTTGACTGGTTTGGCTGTTTCCGATGATTTTGGAGTCAATTACATCGAAGATCCTCCACCAAAAATATATATATTATTTTTTTATCTAGATTCCTAAAATATTTTAAATCTGCACTTATCAATTTTAATGATTGATTTACCACCTGCATTATTTCAAAGGTTTTGATTTTGAATATATATATATATATATATATATATATATATTAAATAAGTATCTTTTTTTCTACTTTATGATTCATATATGTTTTATTTAGAATTTTTTTAATATTAAGTTTGAAAAGTGTATGAATTAAGATACTATTTTGTTTTTTTTATTAGATTGAACTTTGTTTTTTCCTTCTCAAAGTAAGATCTCAACGTTTTACTTTTGGTACTGCTATTGCAATGTGGAGTGGATTTTTTTTTGTTACAATAAAGTTTAGGTCAAAGGTGACTTTTCAGTTCAGGGTCAGGGCATACCTAAACTTTAATTGATATTTACATAGGAATTTACAAATTGCCTACTAAGAGTGATGGTAGCAGGATTCGAACTTGACTTTACAAACTCAAATTATTAAATCCCGACTACGACTACTTGTGTCAACACTCATTGACAATGTGGAATAGAATTTAATTATATAAACATAGGGAAAAAGATAACGCAGAATTTATGAAATAAAATTGATTATCAAAAAATTTAAAATATGCAAATACTATTTATTATCAAAGTGGGAAACACGGTGCAAATTGAAAACTAAAATTACTAGTAAAAACTTTCAACAAAATAATTATAAATATATAAGAAGGTGAAAACTAAAAAAACTCTACGTTGCATGGAGGGCCCAAACACTGCATTGTCTCTTTCCCTTCAGCCCCCTTGAGCACGCAGTCGAGTGGTCCCATTGATCACAAGACTCCCGAGTTGACTCACTCCTTCTTCATTTTCCCTTCATTAAGCTATCATGCAGCTCAATTAACCTCCTTTGAACTAGCTTTCCAGTCCCACAAAGCTCTTTAAGTGTAACGAATCATCAACTCCATGGCTGAACTGAGCCCATTGAAGCAAACTCGGCAAGCTCTTGTTGGAAGAACAATGGTCTGCTGGATTCATTTCCCACACCAAGAAAGTCCCTTGTTAAGCTCGCTTCGACCTCATTTGCGTTCGTCTTCATCTTTGAGCTCGAGTTTAAATCGCCTAATGCTGATTGAGTTGAAGAGAATGAACTCAGTAACTTGTTGTGATCACCATTAGGGCTCGGGATTGTTGAAGGGGATGAGCTCATTAACCCAAATAACCCACTGCTGCTTCTGGTAGATCCCATTTGAGCTGCTTTTTGCAGGAGAGCGGTGGCTGACATGTGAGTGTGGGTTTGTCGGAGATAGTTCTGAGTATTGTTAGAATACAGAGATGTTATGGATTCCGACAAATCTCTCTTGTTCTCTTCTTCTATCGGTCCTCGTAATGATGCTTTTGGTGGGTACTGCTGGCTGAGCCATTGTGTTTGCGAAAATGAACCAAAAATGCTCATTCGTGCAACCATTTCAGGTAAGCCTGTAGGATTTGGTGCAAAGATACCAATTGACTTTTGCCTATTGGAGTCTAGATTATCGGAACTAGCAGCAGACTCAGGCTTAAAGCCTGATAATAATTCATAGTTATTGGCCGCAATATTTGTCAAATCATTTCTAAATCTTGCACTTTCTTCAGCTAATGCATCGCAGAAAGCTCTATGAGTGATGAAACTATCCTTCCTGCATGACCAAAAATGAAGCTTTCCAATCATATATATGGAAACATACCACAAACTATATATAATTATATTACCTGGAAAAGAGGGTTCCACAATCACATCGATACTCTCGAGTGCCACAGATCTTACTATGAGCTTTCCAATCGGACTGAACTGCATATTTCTTGGAACACTTCTCGCAATTCCATTTCTTTTCGCCATGTTTACGGCTAAAGTGTTTCTTTATACCAGTGAGGTCTCCTAGTGCTCTCGACGGGTCATGGTGGACGCAGGCATTCTCGGGGCAGATGTAAACTTTCTTTCTAACTTCTTTGCTGGTTCTTTGCTTGAGCTTCCATGGCAGATTGTGTCCTCTCCTATGGAGTTGTAAGTTCTGGTCCCTTTGGAAACCCTTGTTGCAGATTTCGCACAGGAATCTGTTGGTCGCCATTAGAGACTTTGGAGATAAAGCAATCACTTCAGCATCAGGATCTGATCGTTTCAACAACAGAAACAAAATTAAAACCCCCCATCAGGAAGGAATCAGTAGTAATAACAGCATTAAATTTGATAATAGACTTGCCTGGCGCCCCTGGCAAATTCCGTCTCTTTTTCGTTGAATTAACAGTAGGGTTATGGTTCTGTTCTTGAGTTAACCCTCTGAAGTTCGAAGGAATCGAATCCAATACCCCATTATGAAACATCATTTTGGCTGATTTGATGAACGGATCGACCACCGCTAAAGTAATAAAACCAAAACTCCACAACTGAAGCAGGAATCTGGGAAAATTACGACATATTAAACTTCAAAAACTGAGGACAATATATACTACAAAAAAAGTAAAAATCTTATTCTTCAGTACAATATAAACACAACCCAACAATTCTGCCTTATTGTTTTATAAACGAAAGATTGATATTTGAACTCAAAGTTTTGAAATAGGGGAAGAAAACTCCAAAAAGAAAGCAAGGAGCATGAGAGAATATTTTGTTCCCTACACGGCTTCTCTTCCCAAGTCAGCCGTCAGCCATAGACTCACATGGACCACCTTTTCTATTTTTTTTTTATCATATAGAAATAATACTTGAATGCTTCATGTATGTGGGAGTGGGAGTGGGAGCATGTAAAATGGTTTGATTGGGAGACCTTATATAAAAAAGGAAGGGGGGGGGGCATATTGATGTAAACCTTAGTTGAAATTGAAAAACTTTTATTTATTTTTTTACTTTGAAATAAAGAGAAAAAACAATGATGATGTCAAACAAAGTAGAAAAGAAAGAATGTTTATAGTAATGTAAAACGTTATTTGAATTTAATTATATTTTTAGTTTAAAATATTTAATTGAATAATTAAATTATAAGTTTTACATCAATTAAGTTCTTTTGTTAGCTTAATTCTTCGTTTAGACATTGAAAGTTAACTTAAATATAATATAAAGTATATTTAAAAGAGAAAATAACCTCAATGACCAAAAATCCCATATAATATACGATTTTAACCAACTTTTTTCGGATTTGCCAAAATGACCAACAAAATCGCAATGCGATCGCTAATTCACAACGCGATCTCCATTATCGCAAATTCGCGTTGTATTTTCGCAATGCGATAGTTGAAAATCGCGTTGCGATGGTCTACAGTATCGTTGCGATTTTCCCAATTCGCAATGCGAATAAGTAAATCGCAACGCGAATTGGGAAAATCGCAATGCGAATAAGTAAATCGCAACGCGAATTGGGAAAATCGCAATGCGATACTGACTATCGCAATGCGATAATAAAAAATCGCAACGAGATACTTACTTTCGCAACGCGATACTAACTTTCGCAACGCGATTTACATAGCGCCATTCGTATTAACGCGTATTTTTTTTTCAAATTCCAAACACGTATTTTTTCTTAATAAATCGGAAAATGAACCGTCCACAGTAATCGCAACTCATAACCTCAAACCCAAAAACACAACACTCAGTCCCATCTCCATCTCTCACTCTCTACGGCGAAATCCGTCCCCATCTCCGAAGATTTCCGTCCCCATCGCCGGCGAAATCCCTCACAACCATTCACAGTCAAAAATCCCTCACAATCATTCAGAAATAGAAAATCAACCTCCGAGGGTTAGTTTTTTTTTTTTTTTTTATTTTGAAAATTTTGCATTATTTTAGGTTTTTCATATTGAGATTGATGATAAGTTTACTGTTAATTTCAATCATAGATTAACCATTTCACTTAGATTTCTTATTAAATTCATTCGATTGCTGCCAATACTGCTAAACTGTTTAGCCTGTGAAGTTAGTATTTGTCTTTGCTTTGTCTTTTGGTTGAAGTAATGCAGAAGAAGAATAGTTTCGAGGATGAAAATCGCAACGCGGAAATAACTATCGCAACGCGAAATAAAAATCGCAACGCGAAACCAAAATCGCATTGCGATTTTCATTTCGCGTTGCGATTTTTATTTCGCGGTTGCGATTTTCATTTCGCGTTGCGATTGTCTGGTCGCGATAGTCATTTCGCGTTGCGATTCTCTCGTTGCGATAGTCATTTCCGCGTTGCGATTCTCATTATCTCGTTGCGATTTTCATTTCAACCAAAAGACAAAAACAGTGTTGCAAATTTTAGTTTCAAGAATAAACTACTATTTATGTTTATTGTTTTGTTTTTGGTATATCTTGACAGTGTAATTTTTGGTATATCTAACTTGGTATGTTTATTGTTTTTTTGTAGAAATTTTTTTCGGCTTCATTGACATTAAGGAATAAAGTTAGCCTAGCCACTACAATTGCTTCGAAGCTTTCACCTGCAC